GTGGTGATTTGAAATATGTTATAGAATCACTAAATCAGTCTTAATTTTTAATGTTGGAATGTTTGTACTGTATTAGTATGTGCTACCTATGTAGGAAAAAAGTGGCTTAGTGCATTACAAAGCTGGCCATGGAGCGAACTTGCCTTGAAGGTACTTTGGGCCTTACTTTTTTCACACACTAGTGTCAGTATTGATGCTTGCTAGATGAGGTACAAACATAATAGTAACACGTTTTGGATTTGGACATGAGTCCACAAGGCTTAACAAGAATTGATCTGAATTTTACTGACATCACAAGCTGAGTCTCCTCCCACTCTTATATTTATACTCTATTTCTACTGCAAACACTCATTGATTGTCTTTATGATGACCATCATCTCTCTGCTCCTGCTGGCCTCTCTGCTTCCACACCTGACCTTCACTGGTGAGACTGATTATTTAACAGCATATTACACTGATTTTTAAATAATGTTTAATTGGTACGTACTGAATAAGCTAACTTACAGCTCTGTCTTTCTCTCAGCTCGTGTGATTGTGGGTATAGTGAACGGCACAGAAGCAATACCCACTCCAGACCTTACATGGTTTCTCTTCAGAAGAACTAGCACCATATCTGTGGAGGATTCCTCATCTCTGATGAGTTTGTGTTGACTATACCAGGATTTCAGCATTTCTTCCATGGATCAGCATAATTGGAAATGTTAATTGACATGATGATAACACAAGAATATGTGTAGTGCTTAATCAAAAATGTTTCCAAGTCTTCTAATAAATGTATCACATGCCAAGCACCAGCAAGGACTAAGTGGTCCTTAATGTTACAATACAACATCATGAAACTGTCACATGGATCACAAAATTACTTACATGACATAAACATGGCCATTATATACACTTAAAAATGAAGGTGCTTCAAAAGTTTCTTCAAGTGATCCCATATAGAAGAAGCATTTTTGGTTCCACAAAGAACCATTCAGTCAAGGGTTCTTTAAAGAACCATCTCTTTCTTATCTTTTTCTTACCAGTGCTTTCGTCTGACACTTGTGGTTGAAACTTATGAGCTAAAAGGCAGCTTTTGCTACAATGGCTGTGAAGTGTTACTACATCCATCTAAAGGGTGTAAACTGCCTCAGCTTTTGCTCTGCATGCTATTTCAAGAAAGACCACAATCTGAAACCTAAGCACAAGTTTATTTAAAAAAATAAAAACAGGGTTTAAAAGTTACTATTTGTTTCAGAGAACATTCAAAACCAACGTTCCCTACCGGTGCTTTCGTCTGACACTTGTGGTTGAAACTTATGAGCTAAAAGGCAGCTTTTGCTACAATGGCTGTGAAGTGTTACTACATCCATCTAAAGGGTGTAAACTGCCTCAGCTTTTGCTCTGCATGCTATTTCAAGAAAGAGCACAATCTGAAACCTAAGCACAAGTTTATTAAAAAAAATAAAAACAGGGTTTAAAAGTTACTATTTGTTTCAGAGAACATTCAAAACCAACGTTCCCATAATGTTTGGAAAATATTATGGTGGAACATTAAGAAAAGAAAAAAAAACGTAATTTTCCAAAACTAAATTGGAACATTAGCAAAATGTTATTAGAACATATTCTGTTAGCTGTGTATATAGGAAATGCATTATATTATACATGCAAAATATACATTTTCACCGGTCACATGACTTTTGCATACATAAACTCTTTCACAAAATTGGGCTGAATAATGGTAGCAAGTCTTTCACTCGCACAGTAATCTGCAAACGACACAGTGTGTGTGTGAAGCATGCTTACATGCACTCATTGTGCCCTCTAGACTAGAGGTATAGACTGTAGAAAAAGATTAAAAATGAAAACATGTACATGACGGTTGAGGTTTAGTTAATTCAAACTGTTGAGTTGAATGATGGTGATGTAGTGATGCTGAAAACAGCCCAAAGACTAATTTATCATCACTTAAGTTCATATGAATGATTAGCTAAACATTACTGTAGCCTAATGTCTTTCTTTTCATCTCATGCAGTAAGAGATAACATGGATAGATTTGCATGCTGCTTCTTTGAGCTCAAAGCTCTGTGCACTGTTTGCAAGTTAATGGCTTCAAATGAATCAAATGGCACACATCTTTGTGGTATGACGATTGAAGCCTTCGACCGAAGCCTCATCAAACCACAAGCATTATCAAATATTACTATCTACTGATTACCATACTGAGTTATTGTAACCACAAACTGAAAATAATAAGTTACGGGAAGCTCAGTGTCTCCACCCTCCTTATTATGTTATTTATACCTAGTATAGCCAGCGAAAGCTCATTGAGTCACTGATTGTCTTCATGATGTCCATCATCTCTCTGCTCCTGCTGGCCTCTCTGCTGCCACAGCTGACCTTCACTGGTGAGACTGATTTAAAAAAATACTAATAAACCAAGTTTTATAGCACATATACAGTAAAACAGTAAGGAGGAACTATAATATCACTTTTTCTCTCAGCTCGTGTGAATGTGGGTATAGTGAATGGCACAGAAGCAAAACCCCACTCCAGACCTTACATGGTATCTGTTCAAACAAACGAGCATCACATCTGCGGTGGATTCCTCATCTCTGATAGATTTGTCATGACTGCTGCACATTGCCGAAACAAGTAAGACAAGTAGTAACTTATAATTATATATGTTAGATAATATAACACTTTATTTTGATAGTCCACTTTAGACATTCTACTAATTAACCAAGTAACTTTGCAACAACATTAGAGTATTAGTAGACTGCCTGCTAAATATCTGATAACAGTTTATTTTGATAACAGGTATTTTATTGATAAGTATCTTTGCGAGAATGTCAACTTGTTCTACTAACCATAACCCTAACCTAACTGCCTACTAATACTCTAATGAGAGTTAGTTGATGTGTAATTGCAAAGTTACTTCAGAACATATTTATAAATATATAGCAGACTGTGAAAAAAGTTACTGTTAAATTAAACCTGTCCTTTTATCAGTACTCCAGTTGTGACGGTTGTGCTAGGTGCACATGACCTACGAAAAAAGAGTGAGAATTCAGTCCGATTCACAGTGGATTCATACCATCAGCATCCAGACTACACCATGAAATCCTTTCATAATGACATCTTGCTTTTGAAGGTGACAACCCGCACTTATTTAAACTTATTTTCAATATTTTATTTTAAACTTATTTCAACTTTCATGCAGAATAACAGACAGTATATTATAGAAGATAATCACATTTTTTATTAATGATGCTGCGTTTTTTTGAATTGTATTATTATTACAGTTGGAAAAAAAAGTACAACTAAATGACAATATCAAGTGGATATCCATACCAGCGAAAGAAGGCGATATCGAAGCAGGTTCTGTTTGCAGTATCGCAGGCTGGGGACTTTTAGAAAATAATGGCAAGAGAAGAGATCACCTCATGGAGACAAACGTGACGGTCATGAATAACAAGGAGTGTGAAAGTAAATGGGGGAAGGACGACTTTTCAACTTCACAGATGATGTGTGTATATGGCAATGGAGGAAGCTGTGATGTATGTAAAAAATATTTGATTCACCAAATCTTATTGTTTAAACAAGTGTTATTTATGAATTATGACAGCATGTGACTGAAGTGTTGATCTGTTTCTTAACAGGGGGATTCAGGTGGTCCTTTGGTTTGTGGAGACACTGCAGTTGGTGTCACTTCCTTTGGTGATCCTGATCTCTGTAATTCACTAAAGCTACCTGAAGTTTATACTAAGATTTCAGCATATCTTCCATGGATAAAATCCATAACTGGAAATGTC